ATATTAAGTACGCTTGGATAAATTTTTGCGGAAAATATGTGACCGCGTACATAGCGGAAATTAATACCACGCGGGAAAAAGTACTTCAACAGTAATATGGAATTTTCAATGAATCCCGAGAACTTGAATGATAGAATTGCATGCATGTAGATGGTTCAGCTGGGCATCAAAAGATATGTCCCCATAAACCATGCAGAAATGTTTTCCAGAATATCTGGCATATGTGTTTAAAAGCCTTACACAATATCGTCATAAAGAAAAACGAGTTTTATTTATTTATGTTTTTATAAAATTAATATAAATATATTATTTAAAATTTGAAGTTTGAAAAGATATTTATCGTGTCAGAAATATTTCTTTGCACTGCTTATACATGTATATGTTATATTTTACATACTCTTCATCTAAAAAAAAACGGAACAATATCAAAATACAGATGGATGAACATTCATGAAGTTAAAATTTGATAAAGAAAATTTGAAAACAATCAAATACTTCAGAGATTTTGAATTAAGATTTTATCTTTTTTTCCTTTCCAGAAATATAACTGAATTAGTAATTCTCTGCAACTCAATGCTAGTATTTCAGTGGCCGAGAACCCTTTGCCTAAAAAATATGTGTCTAGTTGATGGACAGGTTAGTATGCATCTTACATTGATTCATGCGCATTGGTAAAATCTTTTTGATGATCTTTAATATCGCTGTGGCTTTCAACTCGCCATTCCAATATAGCGACATGTTTAACAATAAAATAATTTCTTTGTCTGTTATTACTGGACTTACGGAAGGAGCTATCGCAGAAATTTGTAAATTAGTAAAAAAGATTATGAAATTTTTTTCTGCAATAGCTGCCTCCGTTAATTCCAGTAATAACAAACAAAGAGAAACATTTTATTGTTTTTATTTATATCTGTTTAAATAATCATTTAAAGAAGGAATAAAAAAAATGATTATTGTATTAATGATGCGAACGTATTTATACGTTTCAGTGAAGGAACAGCCACTGATCAAAAATCTATACGGGCAATATGCCTAATTTAGTTCATGCAGTGATTAACGCAATTGGTTTTCTTAAGAAATAAAGGAGAAAAAATACAATTGATGTAAATATTTGATAATTAACAATGGTTATTTCCAATCCTATGTCGATCCGATATATTCCAGTGAGCTTGAAATAAAAGACACCACAGAGTCTGACACATCTGTTTCATATTTAGATATTTTAACTTGAAAGACCGTTAAAAGTAATGTACCAAACAAAGCTCAAGATAAACGAGATGACATTAACTTTTCAACCGTCAACTTTCCTTACTTATGCAGCAATATGCTTTCATCACCTATGTTTGGGGTTGATATCTCTCAGTTGATTCGATTAACAAGAGCAAGTTCTACGTATGAACAATTTTTAAATGGGATGGGTTATTGCCAAACAAGTTGGTGAAGCAGGAATATCAGCAGTCTCGTATAAAACATCATTTCTTAAGTTCTATGGTCGATACAATGACATACTCAGCAAATGACTGATTTATTATTTGTATATTGTTTAACGTCCCGCTCAACATGTTTTCACTCATATTAAGATGTCACTTTATGCCGTTGAAGTTGAATGTGAATTATATTATGAGATAATTAGTTGTTCACTTTCAGCAGCGGTCTAACTGTAAAAACGAGATAAAACAATCACTCAATACTGGAGGATACAGGAGATTAACAATACATGGACTCTGGTAAGAAAATACATACTTTTGTTCGATTTCCGAGTTTGGTTGCCTGGGAAGAAACATACAATATTAAGGTCAGACGTGATGTCCCTTAAAATCTGTTTTGTATATCTTTGTAATGTATGAAAAATATTTAAAATTTTAATAACATTCTGATTTCTAAACCAGTTTCTAAACTTTAAAAAAAAAAAAAAATCCAAACACTTAAACATTTGAAATTGGAAAATTATTTTTCTCCCCCAAAGGATTATATAAGAAAAACTACCCCTGGTATCTTGCAGAAATGCCTGGTAAGGTACCTCAATTTTTTGCGAATAAACAAGTTTAAGTAGCAATACTTCAATGACAAACCCATAGAAAAATTTATCTATTATTAAGGAACGTCCCGTCTACTTTAATTGAATAGATATAAGTGCAAATATTGGTTCCGTAGCCCTATATAAATTTGATCGAAATGAACAGAAATAATGATTTATCATTTGATGAATACATGTACGAGTTTCCAACAATTATACAAAAGAAATTTCAATCTGTCTTTACTGCAATTGTCAGTCTTTACGGTTCATTGTGGAATACTGATACCGATATATTTTCATAGCATTGTGATGCTTTTTCATGAGCTAAACGTGTTTCTAACAATCCTCAAAAAAGACTCCTTTCCATCAACCTTTTTTCTGTATTTACTGCAATTTTCAGACTTCACGCTCCCTTCTGTAAACTTCAATCCCGATCCCTTTTCATAGGAAGTGAATATAAGTCCAAAGACAAGTTTATCTTTAAAAAAGATAGGTGAGCTAGCGTCGTAGTCATTTTTAAACATAGAAAGGAAGATTCGTGATCAATTGATTTATTTTGCTGTATTATTTATTGTTAAGAAATGTTGGAGTCTCGTAGCTAGAGTTTTTACTTTTTCTTGAAGAGTAATTTATAGAGATAAAATTATATTACTGTTGAACTGTATTGTATGAGGGCCGTTCAAAAATTACGCGGACTTGTTGCACAGAAAAAATATTTGACGACATGATCGGGCAAAATGTCACACATAATAAAAAAGAATCTTTACTTGTATGGTATTCAAAATTTTATATCAAAATGTTGTAAATTGGTATCAATTTTGAGTGATTTTTGAGGACATATCACTAAATCACGGAGTAGCAAAATCTTCGACGTCACAGGCACTATAAAAAAAATATGTTATTGAGCTTTCATTTTCTCAACATTTTCCCGAGAGTACCCGTACAGTTTGAGTTACCTTATCTACCCTACATCCAAACACCATTTCTTATCAAGCTTAAAATCTATTAAACAAGTAAAAAAATATTCTTTTTTTTTTTAAACCAAAAATTGCAGGTATTTTTGAGATATTATGTGATATTGGTGACTCTCTATCACGTTCTTTACATTCCGGATAAAGTTTTTGTCGATAATCTTCTTCCCGTCCTCCCGTATAGCCTTTTTACAGAGGTCTAACGGTCTTAAATTTCAATTTGCTTTTTGTGGACGATTGCCACGAATACCCTAGTTTACTACATATTTTATTATGCATATTTTGGATCTATGTTGGCGATATCTCAAGCATGACAGATAATTTAACAAAAGTGCGGTGCGCCGTCAATTCAGGAGACGTCATTTGCACAGTCGTTTTCATGGGAATCGCTTCAGAGAAAAATCACTATATTTCTGTTAGTACTTCAAATATCACGTAAGAAATCTAAGTGCATGATAATAGAACAATTTAAGATACATTTGAAAAAAAATGGTCGAAAAATATCGCGAATTATAGAAAATTAGTAAGTTAAAGTTTGGATTTCGCCTGCTTTTGCTTCAGATTTTTTGTCGTGCTCCGAACCTCTCCATCAGCGATATCAACATACCGATAATTTTAGTAGAATTTTTTTAATATACAGAAATTTTGCCCAAAATTTATTGGAATCTTTAAGATACATATTTTTGTGAAATTTCATAATTATATGACGTCTGTAAGAGTAAATAATACCACAGTCCGCGTAATTTTTGAACGGCCTTCGTATCAGTCGCTTTTCGTGTCTTGCAAAAAAGCTTTGAAAGGAGAAAAAGATATTTTACATGAAGTTGACACTATTATCCAGGAACGCGGTATAACTTGTACGTTAGATGTCTAGAAGCTTGGCATTATATGACCTAAGTTTTTGTTGCATTTTTAACTTTAAAATGTACGTTTCACAATAAATAAAAAAACTTTAGAATCAAACAGAAAAGACCAGTTCTACTCTAAGAAATTGTTATCATGCAGTCTATCAAAAGCACTATAGTTTTCCTAGAATGCTAGACTACAGGAATATGAAGTTTTTATCGTCAAAAAAAAATCCAGGAAAAATATTCCAAACCTTCACTAAAAAATGTCAACACCAGGATGGCAACGTATTTTTGGGGGACCCACCTTAACAAAAAGGCTTGGCCAGAAAGATTTCCCGACTAATTCAGTATCTGGAGCCTGATTGTTATTTATTCAAATTGAAAAATCCATTCTGCTTGACGACTACGGGCTGTGCATAGCCTTTTTTCCACACTGACAGCTCATCCTGGACTCCATGCCACTAAACAGGAAGAGAATTTCGCATTATTATTTGATGTCTTCAAAAGCTTGTTCAAATAAAATAAAATAAATAATCGTTCAACGTAATTTGATTCAGTTATTTCAAATATATATTTAAGAGAACTTTAAGAAAAATTAATCAATTCTTTTTCTTAGTTTTATGACAATTTGTACAGGGACAGATAATACAGTTTTTACATAGCACCAAATTTAAATCAGTGAATAGCCAAGTCAACAAAGAGCCAAACAGCTACACTTGCCGACCTGATAAGGCATTATTTTGTTTTTAAATAATATTTATTTTCATTGATCACAAATGGTAATATAATATTGTACATGAAGTTTTACATGCTATTTTTTTTTTTGTTTTTTACCTTCAATTACGTCAAATATTGACTCCGGAGTTCACTTCCGGTTTAGAGGCATGGAGTCCAGGATGAAATGTCAAAGTCAAAACAGGCCAGGAAAATCCTGTAGTCGTAAAGCAGATTGGATTTCTGAACTTGAATAAATCGCACAAACACTCGGATACTGAATTAGTTGCGAGATTTTCCTGGACAAGCCCAGATCTATTTGTTTAGGTGGTCCCCCCCCCCAAACACGTTTTTTTTTTTTAGTTTAGAGTGGTTTTTTTTCAGGAATTTTTTTTTTTTGGGACGATAAAATTTCAGACTGCTGTGACTTGACCGTGAAGTTTTTCCTAGAATGCCCGACCATGAAGCCGAGCAAGCGTATTCCAGAAATATGCACTGACGTAGTTGCTATGAATGCATGGTTAGACGACATAGGGGGGGGGGTGTAAATTTAAATGTAAATTGATAAAATGCATGTACCTGACAGGTTCATATATGTTAATAATAGTCTGGTGTAATTTTAAAAGGGGACGTATGGTGTCAAAACTATGTGAAATTCCTTCATACCGATTGGTCATAGTACGAATTTCTTAACCAATAGGTTTTCATTCTGAATGAAAGATTCCTAGTTTGCATTTTATATTGAAACAATACATACGAGGGTTGTCCCAAAAAGTCGTATGTTTAAGATTTTCTCCCCTTACAACATTTTATAAAGCTTCAAAAATGATATTGCATATTTTATTTATGTTCCAATTTGAATGGAAATAGTAGTTCATTTATATCATATGTAAGGTGAGATGAAGTTTGACGCGAATTCATCTTCAATATATATTTTTTTTAATGTCCAATTGCAGGGAACTTGGAAAATATACTGATTGCAACAACAACGGGCCTGCCTTCAATATTGACGAGGTATTTATAAGAATGCGTATAGACATTCTAAAATATTTAGTTTTGTAAAAGTATGTTATACAGACGCATGATAGGGAAAAAACATCTCATCAAATCATGACTTAGACTTTTCTATCGTCAACGTTTCTTATTTATTTAACAATATACCCTTATGGCCTGCGTATGGGGATTATTCACCTTGTTGATTTATAATGCATGAGCATTCTCTACGTACGAATTGTATTTTAAAACCAATTCACAAGGAATTTAATATTGTTGAAGAAATAAGGATACAACCTCGTTTAATATCATCATTTCAAACGTTTTATGTTCGATATCATGACCTTGAGAATAAATATAAAATATCATTAAATCTATTGCTGATTTACTTCTTTAACCATTTGAGAGGTCATTATTTAAAGAAAAATGAATCGTCTATAGATCTTCTGATTTTCCGATGTATGACAAAGAGCCAAACGGCGGGGTTACCATTCGAAAGAGGATGTTCTCTTCTTCATGGCTCCTGATCCAACCTCTGATGTTAAAGAATCTCTGTTGGCTATGCTCCATATTTGTTTTGGTTCGAATGATCGTTTGATGTTGATTTTCTTTATAATTTCAAAATTTCTTAAAGAAATAACGGCTTTCTATTATAAGATTTGTAATGCTTTAAGTTTTTTTTAAATTTTAGTTTCCTTTTATCTAAATGCTTTAGGTATAATCAGAAATGTTCCCTTCCTGAAATAGGAGTGTAAGGAAAAATACATGTAAATAAAGGATTTTTGGATCTTCAGCTTTTAAAGGGGTGATAAGAGCTACAGATTGATTTACAGTTTACTGTAAGGAATAGATGCCAAAAAACTTATAAAGGAAAATTTTATAAAGAAAAAATCTAAATTGACAAGACTGAAATAAAATTTAGAAAGAGGATTGGTGACAGATGGATCAAAAGAGTAGATCCCCACCCCCTAAAAACTATTAACTGATTTTCTATGAGAAAAATGATTTACTACAGTAGACTTTAGTTTACCATAGTAATTAGGATATTTATCTACGTTGATGTCCCTGTCATACTATACTAACTAGACAGTGACTCCTTAATTATACATGTATTTCCATTTCATTGTGAAATTTAATTGTAGATTTAGATTTTTAAAATGTAGACAAATATTTAAATGACACGAGGACTCCCGACCATGCAAATTTCCAATAGTCCTCGCCCACTGACGTCATAAATAAAGGCTCCTGCACGAGCTTTGCATGCATATTAGGAGTCCTTCGCTCCTTACCTATCGACCTGCCTAATTTACATTCCGGTAGAACTATCAGGAAACCAACTCCACTAACTTTCAAAGAGTTATCACAAAGAAAAAAAGAAGTGGAATATCATATATATCGTATAGTTTACTATACATGTAGTATATTTTTATTCTGTCAGTCTTCCAATGAGCCTGATATAATCATTTATTGTCATGCTGTTCCTTTAAATAAATAAATTAAAAAATACTTTATATTTCATATAAATTTTAATTCCTCACATTCTCGTGCCACTCTTTACCCCGAGATAGAATGATTTTTACACTTTTAATTTTGCACAACATGTAAATATGAAACTCATAAGTATGTTTTAAAGGGGCATGGGCACAGTTTCAACTGAATTTTCAAACCAATTTTTAATGTTTACCATTCCTATATAAGGCAAATGAATTCTAATGATAAGCAAGATTTTGAACATCTTTTGTTGACTAGCAAACGAGATACTGAACCTAATGTTCTCCGTAACGTTACCAAGTATGAAGTCCTAGTCTTAATCCTTTAAACGTTATGGTCAAATTTTGTTATTAAAAAGTAGGTCAAGGTCAAAGGGTCAAAGTTCTTGGATTCCAATGAAGGCCTTCTTTCATGGATTCCATATATGAAGTACGAAAGCCCTAACTGGTACCGTTCAAAAATTGTAGCCAAGGTTATATTTTTTTAATTGCAATAATATCCCAGGTCAAGGTCAAAAGGTTAAAGTCGCTGGTGTTCAATGGACAGTCTTGTAACAGAAAATACATATGTGAAGCATGGAAGTCCTAATGCCTACTGTTCCAAAGTGATGGCCAAAGTAAAAGTTTGGAATTTTTGTGTAAAAGTTTGTCAAACTCCAAGGTGAAGATCAAAAGGACAATTTTAGTGGTACTCTAAGAAATGTCTTTTCACACGGATTGATTGATTTTATACTGTTTAATGTCCCTCTCCAGAATATTTCACTGATATGGAGACGTCACCATTGCCGGTAAAGGGCTGCAAATTTACGCCTGTGCTCGGCACTTACGGGTTTTGAGCAGGGAGGGATCTTTATCGTGCAACACCTGTTGTGACACGGGGCTTCGGTTTATACGGTCTCATCCGAAGGACCACAACATTTAGTCGCCTTTGACGACAAGGAAGGGGTTTCTGAGGACCTATTCTACCCCGGATCCCCACGGGGTTCTTTTCACACGGAATACACGTGTGAAATATGTAAGTCATAGCTCCAGTATATCAAAAAGTACAAGCAAGGTTAAAGTTTTTGCAGACAATCAGACAGACAGACAGACAGACACGACAAAAACTATATACCCCTGAATCTTCGATTACGGAAGCATAAAAATGTGCAAGACTGTAGATGTTATTTAAGTAATTGGGAGCAGATAAAAATACTCTTTTAAAACTATATTGCTCTTTATTAAGAACGAAGATGAATTATGACTGTATTGTTTTCGGCTCTGAAAGAACTTCATTCGTAAAACCTCTTCATGCATATATATCATCAAGGCCTTAGACTGTGTTTAGGTGTCATAACAGTATTTCACTTGGGTTCGCGTCAAATCTTGGCTGACGCAAAATAATTCCGGAATGTTCCCTTCCGATTTCGGGCATTTTGATACGAGATTGGAGCTGAATTTTTTTTATGAGATGAAAAAGAACATGTAATCTTCCTGTATTGACCAGATCTATTAAAATTTAGAGCGTGCTGATTTTCTATTTACTGTCAAGAGCGGGGAGTGATTAGGCCCCGGACTAGATTTTCAAACACCTGCTCGACTTCGACCGAAACAAACTTGCGTGCCTTGCTGGATGTATTTTTTGGTATTAAAATCTTTAGAAAGCATTGTTTTACAAGATTTCAAAAGTAAACTTCTGAGAAGTTTGTTTTGAATTAATTACACCTACTCAAACTTGCGCATTTTTGGTAAGAATATATAGCAGAAATTAATACTGTTGTGCAAACTCTAAGTTAGAGCTTTTCGAACTTCTCCTGTAGACAGTTTATATTTTGGGGTAAACGAACCCTTCTCACCTTGGAAATTTAAACAAACCCTAAAAAAATTTCGTGAATGTTGATTATCCTGATTATAATTGTCGTTTTCATCCGCATTACGACGACTTGTATAAGAAAATCAAATTATGTGTAAAACTCCTTCGTCTAAGATCTAAAAGCGTATAAGAGATTCTGATTTACCTTACGTTTGGATGCAATAAAGCCTAAGAAATTATCCAAATTATCGCCATGGAATTTCATAAATCAATCAAAAAAGACAAAAAAAAATCCGAAATAAAATATTCTTATGGTTCAGCAGTCGATATATTAACAAATGGTTAAAAGGATACCTGTATAGAGTGAAATCAGTGTTTTCTCTACACGGCTTCTAAATGAAGCAACGATTTTTATCACTGGAGCAAAAGCAATACAACTTGGATTTAAATATTTCAAATCTTTGGGAGAAAAAATATTTACAACATTTTCGGACTCACTCTCTTGCTTACAATCTATACAAAATAAGATCTTTGACAAACCTTACATTTAAGATAATATATATTAATTCACTATTATCATTTCTTGCAACAAAGTGAAACGGTTTCCCAGTCATTTCGGCATCCCTGGAAACACTGAAGCTGACAGCTGCAGTGATACAAAAACTGCACTTCAACATGAAATTACTTTATTCAAAATTCCTAACATCGATTTGAAATATTTCGTTAATTTTTTTGTTATTTGGATTTTTGTGATGTAAGCACATTTGTAATGTAATGCTATTGAAAAAACATTTGCAAATCATCTGACCTCGGTATGAAACGTTAAGCCGATGTACAGCTGTACTTATTTCAGGAATACCTATTGGTCATTCAAAGTTTACACATATTAAAAACTTATTGAATCAGGAGTCTCAGCCAGAATGCATATCCTGTTCCTGCGACTGCCTGATAACTATAAATCACTTGATTTAGAATGTTCCGATTTTACACTAACACGAAGTAGACCATGAAATGTAAAAAAAGATTACAAATATTAATATTAAGGTCTTCTGTTTCCACCGGAAGACCTTCTACTGATTCTGTTAGTAATGATTATCATTCCTGTTTTTCTTCTACTTCCTAGACTTTGAAGCCTCATATCTCACTCATTTCTCAATTGATTTTGCTCAAATTTTCTGAGTTACTAGAAGTTACAACACTATCAGAATGCTGTCTAAAATTACAAAAAGTCACTTCCGGTTTTGAGTTATTTCCCTGTAAACGAGAATTTATAGGCTTTCGTTTACAGACAAAGGCACTGAGACGGCTAAAACTAGACCAGAAATTCTACTGATTTATATAATAGAAGGATTGGTGTTTTGCACATCGGTTTTTGCTTTTCGATTTCTCTATTCGAAATGGCGCTTTATAGGGGTCAAAAATTAGAACGCTCAAAAGAGCCAAAAATTACTCATATTTTGCTTTTTATCTTCTAAACTAAAAATATTTTGTTAAAATATATGGAACATAATTTGTGCAGAGTTAGAAGATCTTTCAAATAGTATCTCGGAAAAAGGGCTGACTCCTAAATTTAGGGATCTAGAGGGGCCAAAAGTTTTTTCCAGATATCTCACAAAGTATTGAGAATTTGTTATACACCAAAGAAGCAAAGTTGTTGAAAATCTCTGGTAAAATGTACTGATGTCATCAAAATATGCCCTGTGACGTCACTTCCGGCCAAACCGGAAGTAGTTTGAAACTGCATAATTTGCCGTTTTTGACCTGTTTTGGGGAAATATTTGTCACTGGAAGCATAAAACTTAATTTGTCATCCGTCGACGTCACTTCCGGTCAAACAGGAAGTAGCAAAAATGACTTACTTTTGCAATTTTCAACATAGATCTGGAAGATTTAAATCATTAGAGAGGCCACTTCTCTCTCTCTCTCTCTCTTTTAAAATAACTGTTACTTCCGGTCAAACAGGACGGAAGACCTACTCGTTGCATTGCAACGAGCTTTGTTCTAGTTATATTAACATTTTAGAATAAGTTATCTAAAAGAAATGGATTTTTGATGTTAAATTTGAAATAAAATAATGAAAACAAAATGAAAAATGCACGTACATAGATAAATTTATTATTTTTGTAAGTTTATACAATATTTTTAACAGTTACATAAACAAAATTGAGTCCCTCGGACTGGACAATACATTTTGCCCGGTGTCAAGGATTACAACCTCCTTGGTACGTAAAAGATCAATTAAAGAAATGACCTTGGTACGTAAAAGATGATTTCTTTGGATTTCGAAAAGAGTGGGTTCACTGGGGACCGACAGGGAAACTAAAACCTTTAATAAACCTATTACTTAAAATGATATCCACCGAAACATGCCTTAAATTTTTGCCGACTCGGCGTTAAACAATAAACAAACAGACAATCAATCAATCAGCAATCAAAACATAATTACGAAGGGTGATCAAAAAGTTCGGGAACTAATTGAAGAACATCCATAAAAGAAACAATATTTGGTTTAAGTGTTTTTATATTTTTAGTCCTTTCCAATTTTAATGCACCTCAAACACCGTTCTGCTCTTGCGCGAACCACGTGATATAGGCGGTCACGTGACCCCCTCCGTTGCGTTCTGTCACTAAAGCTGAAATATTTAATACAAGTTTTATATTTATTTCCATGTTACTTAATTTTTATAACAAGAACAGATAATTTGTCAGATATGGTCAAATCTCGGTAACAGAATAGGTGGATAAGAATAGTCATTCTAAAAATAAGCATGGCGACCATCAAAATCCAAATCTCCTGTCTCGTCCTCCTGTCTCGGGAGAGACGTTTATTTAAGGAGGATTGAGATGGGTGCTTCCTTTTTTATCATATCTAATATGTTTAAATTCTAAAGTAAACGATATATTAGGTATTCAATAATTATATTGTTGTTCAAATATTCAACTATTTTTCAAAGTGTAAATTTGAGGTCTTTGATAGCAAATAACTTTATTAAAAACACATCTCTAATCAGACTTGCTTTCACTGGGCAACATTACAAGTATCATTTTTAACCATTTGCCTTATTGCACTTCAACAATCAACCCAATCATTGATTGAATTGATAGGAAGTCATCAGTCTTAATAAACTGTGTACAAATTATTATGTGCTACGTATACTGCAAAGGGACTTATAAGATATACAATAAATAGTACAGTCGTTTGTTGTCAAACGAGTACGACCGACACAATAATTTTTCGTCACATATGACCTACATAGTGACGTCATTTTCACATTGTGACGTCCCAAGCAAAACCCAAAACTTGATTCAGCATTTGCACTTTATAGAACTTGTGCATGGGGATGTGTGTACGATTATTTTGTTTGATTTGAAATGTGGATATAGATATATATAGTTCTCGAACTTTTTGATCACCCCTCGTATTAATACTACTAATAGGAACTTTATTTTTTTTTGCGTGATATTGTGTTTTTCAACGTTTTTGATCAATTTATGTGTCACAGAAAAGGAGCTCAGCAACGATTCACTCAGGTATAAAGAAATCATTTGTGTCTGAAACCGTTGAATGAGATACGTTATTTGAAAGACCATCTGGCAGAATGATGCAGATAGGCGTGGAACTTGATGTATGATATTGAAAACATTGCATATTTTAGAATTCTTCTCAGCTTTGTTTAATGCCACAAAAAGTTCAATTACAATTTTCGTTGCAGATAGGGGCAAACAAGATGTTACCTCTTACAGAAAATTTTCCAAATCTCCTAGGCGACGACCGTGTATTTTGGTAAATATCCTTTTGCAAACAGATTATAGGTTGCAAAAATGGTGCCTGTGCCACTATTCCCAGATGTTATAACGTAAACTGCATGTATACTGCATAGTGTACATATGTTCTTTGTAAATATTTGAATTCTGTCGAACTCTACCCTTTTCTTTCGTGACAATAAATGTATTTATTTTAAAATAATTTTTTTGCATTAAAATATTTTTATTAAATTGTTTTGTTTTGTTTCTGTAATAAAACTGCATACATAAAATTGTGTCAACTCTACTTACTTACACCAGCAACATTAAATACTAGTGGTATATTATTCAATCGTTTTTGACAATTCTGAGGAAAACGTTTGCACACTTGCACAAAACCTCTCACTCTCAGAGAGAGAGAGAGAGAGCCAGAGAGAGAGAGAGAGAGAGAGAGAGAGAGAGAGAGAGAGAGAGAGAGAGAGAGAGAGAGAGTCAAACTGATAGTTTGTTCCATTCGACACTGGTTCTGATTATTTTTACCGAAAAGTACATGAATAGTATATATAAATATATTAACATCTTTAACTGTTTTTATACTTTGCTCTTTCATTCAGAAAAACCTCATGATCGCTGACGATTTTTAAAAGAAATATTTTCAAAGATCTGCATATTTAGTATTTTCATTGACAATCATTTAACTTGTAGGAAACATGAATGGGAAAGACACGGGAAAAAGACTGGATATACTATTGATGAATACTTTGGACAGACCTTACACCTGTATAACATGTACGGTACGAGTATAACAAAGTAAGCATTTAATTTTAAAATGAAAAGGAAAAATATAAACTTTAAGTGGATAAGTTACATGTATTACATTCTACGTTCGACCTATAGTTTCTGAATGAGATAATACTAACCAAAACGTATGAAATTAATCACTAATATAACTTTAATTATTCATTACATGTTAATTGTACTTCCTTATTTATGTCACCTACGTGATCTTTACTTTGAACTGTAAAGTTATACCTTTTTTTTTATAAAAGCAAAGTTGTAAGTGAAACAAATTTTAAAAAATGAAGAAATAATTCATTAATTACTACAACTGATAATTTAACTAATTTATAAAGTAATATTTTCCACAAAAATTTAAAACCAGTCTTTGCAAGTACAAAGCAATTCAGAAATATATGCAGCTAAAAATTGCACGCTCTTCATTTCATAAAAGAAAACGGCAGGAAGACAGTTGATATTCTATATATGTGGATCATTAGATTGTTCGATTTTGTATGGAACATGTAGCACATAAAAATTAAGTGATCAGTGCGTATATATTCCACGTCAACCGTCTGTTGTACAGAATTCGTAAATGATACTAAAATTGAAAATTTAATATATGTATAAAAGTAAAAGTTTGAAATTGATCTGCGCTACACAGTATTTACACATAGGCCGTAATAGGTTATTACCGGCAATTGAATCCATGATCAAAGTTTTGATCTACAAACTGGTGTCTTATTAATCACGATTTATAATTCTGTGTACAAACGAATAGCTTTTAGCATTCAAGTTGACCTCAAATGAATACATGTATATTGAAGCTGAATAGAAGTATTGTATGAAATGAAGAGAAATTTCAAAACATTCTATCAATGAATAAAAATGTATTCGCCTGCAAATTCTTTGGTCGTTTATTTTTCTTTAAACTGTTTAAATATATTTTTCATTCGTATACATAAAAATACAGTATTCATGCTTTTATGAATTATGCCTCCGGTCAGTTTGTCTCATTACATAATAAGCAAATGGAGATTTCATTTCAATCAAAAATGCTACTATATCCTTTAAAAAGAAAAAAAACTTTCAATTTAAGTTAATATTTATTCAAACTTCTGAATAGATTTTTCATTTTTTATGTATGAGATTTGTATGTGAAAAAGATGTCATTTATACGGTGGTATATTTAGGACACGCAATTATTATTTTTTTAAATACCAGAAAAAAATTATCTTGTGAAAACGACATAATTATCTTGTGAAAACGAGATAATATCTTGTGAAAACGAGATATTATCTTGTGAAAACGACTTATTATCTTGTGAAAACGAGATAATATCTTGTGAAAACGAGATATTATCTTGTGAAAACGAGATAATATCTTGTGAAAACGAGATAATTATCTTGTGAAAACGAGATATTAACTTGTGAAAACGACTTATTATCTTGTGAAAACGAGATAATATCTTGTGAAAACGAGATAATTATCTTGTGAAAACGAGATATTATCTTGTGAAAACGAGATATTATCTTGTGAAAACAACATAATATCTTGTGAAAACGAAATAATATCTTGTGAAAACGAGATAATATCTTGTGAAAACGAGATAATATCTTGTGAAAACGACATATTATCTTGTGAAAAAGACTTATTATCTTATGTCGTTTTCACAAGATAATATGTCGTTTTCACAAGATAATATGTCGTTTTCACAAGATAATATGTCGTTTTCACAAGATAATATCTCGTTTTCACAAGATAATATGTCGTTTTCACAAGATAATAAGTCGTTTTCACAAGATAATATGTCGTTTTCACAAGATAATTATCTCGTTTTCACAAGATATTATCTCGTTTTCACAAGATAATATCTCGTTTTCACAATATATTATCTCGTTTTCACAAGATAATAAGTCGTTTTCACAAGATAATATGTCGTTTTCACAAGATAATATGTCGTTTTCACAAGATAATAAGTCGTTTTCACAAGATAATATGTCGTTTTCACAAGATAATTATCTCGTTTTCACAAGATATTATCTCGTTTTCACAAGATAATATCTCGTTTTCACAATATATTATCTCGTTTTCACAAGATAATAAGTCGTTTTCACAAGATAATATCTCGTTTTCACAAGATATTATCTCGTTTTCACAAGATAATAAGTCGTTTTCACAAGATAATATCTCATTTTCACAAGATAATATCTCGTTTTCACAAGATATTATCTCGTTTTCACAAGATAATAAGTCGTTTTCACAAGATAATATCTCGTTTTCACAAGATAATATCTCGTTTTCACAAGATATTATCTCGTTTTCACAAGATAATTATGTCGTTTTCACAAGATAATTTTTTTCTGGTATTTAAAATAAAAATAATTGCATGTCCTAAATATACCACCGTACATTTACAAGTATTTATGATTTAAAAATTTTCAACATAGATAGCAATTTAGGATATTTAGGTTACCTTCAAAGGAAATATTTTATTTGAGGGGTAACGCAAGGAATTTGGGTTCATAACATAAAGTTTTCTAGGTTTCTGCTTTAGGGTCCCTTTAAAGTATGCTTAAAAAGTACACTTAGTCTAGTGTACAGCTGAAATATGTCGTAAACCGTAATATAAAAGAAATCAAGTACGGTCCTACCCAAGTCAAACTTAAGTTCAATTTCTCATGAATAAAAGTAGGTATATATATATAAAGCAATAAAAAAGAACAACGACACGACAATAAAAATTGTCTGTGTCCTGAGGAAGGGACACACACAGAAAAAAATTAAAAAGTCATAAGAGCAAAGGAAAAAGAGAAACAAAAACAACTAGCACTACTTCTAAACTACTAAACTCTATATATTTACAAACTTAGTTACATGTTGCATTGGAAATTTTTAAGAACACTATTAAAGAAAGAAATCCAGACCGCTATGAAATACGTCCTGTCTATCGGGTATATTCGGGTAAAGTCAAGACGTTCTTCATTAGGCCGGTATCTAAGTATCAATACGACCCTAGCTCTACAACTCACTTTCTTAACCAGTAAAGTGAGAGCTTATTATTCACGACAAACGATTTTCGATGTTCACTAGTAAATTAAATTCACTTGTTTTTTCCTTTTAGTGAATACTTTTTCGAACATAAATATCGGTAATACATGTATCTGTAAATCTAAATTAAAGGTAACAGTCAATTTTGTTGAGAAAAAAATTATAATTGTATATGATAAAAAAATGTTATATTAAAAATCAAAAGGGTACTAAATGAAAATACTTTAGTATTCCTTCTCTCCTAAATTTTGGGTAAAAACATGTTACAGTGTATAATTTAGCGATATAATAATCAAAAAAGTTTACATTTTTATTCATTTACATATTTTTTCCAACATTTAAAAAAGATTGATTCTAAAAATGATCTTGATTTTTAGTTTGAATAGAAAACTGACAGAGGAAATGATGTTCATCTACCTTCGGGTCAATTTTGTAGACTGATAGATTCTATATTATATTCTATTTTATAAGGTCCCTCTCGAGAATTTATCACTCATATGGAGACGCCACCACTTGCCTGTGGAGAGCTGCAAATTTTGTCCTATACTCGTCACTCAGGACCACTGAGCAGGGAGGGATCTTTTTCATGACAGTACCTACTGCGACATGGGACCTCGGTCTCATCCGAAAACCGGTCTACACGTCCCACATTGGGATTCGAACCCGCGACGTAAGGATTGACTCCATACTTCGCGACTCTATAGGAGACGCTCTCACCTATGCGCCACGTGGGCGACCTCAATTTTGTAGAAGTAGTTAGGACGTTTGAATGCTATAGCAAACCATTTTTTCGATCGATCTACCAAGGACCCCGTTAAATCAAATTTTTATCGAAGTATCCCGTTCAAATCTTCGAATAATTAAAAGATTATCTGTACCTGATCAATTTAAAAGTTAATAGACTTTCTTGGAAGTGGAAACAGGTCGTTTTGCAGGGTTGAACAGGTTCTATTTTCGCAACATGACCCCAGATTCAATTCAAGTAGCTTTTCTCCATTGCAATGACTCCTTGTGAGACTCCTTGTCATGTTCAAACGCACAAGTCCATTAGATTGTATTTATAGATAAAAACTTATTCTACATTTCTATTTCGTCTGGCTATAAAAATCTCGGAGTTAGCACCGTACTCTATATGCGTTCGCTTTAGAAAATCCTTAATGGATACAATGCTGCCCCCTGTTTTTTCTGAGTATATATTGTATTTTTGTTACAGTAAATTTTCCTGTCTATGCTGCTGTCGCCCAACCCCCTTCTTAGTCATTTTTTGTTGTTGTAAGGTCAATGTAAATTTCAAGACATGGACACTTTTTGCCAACTTGTCAGATTAAAAAACCCTCATATTTTCTTAATGTAAACTTCTGAAGCCAGTCTGAGAGCTATATCACTAACACAACCACACAAAATTTTTATGTATGGTCAAATGTTTTCAAAATTTACGTAACCTTCATCCCCAACCTTACCAGCAATTCTACTATAAAAATTAATATAGGTTGAATATATATAGTAAAATGTTTCATTGTAAAGATAATTGATTATTATGCTTCCTGTCAGTTTGTCTCTATATAACCCATACCCTACTATTCTCGCATAGTGGTCTAAGGATTTATAAAGCGTAAGCATACTATGCCGAAATAGTGCACGGTTTTATTTACTGAATAAAATTCTTCCATGCACATGCCGGGGATCGAACTCACGACCATGAGATTGTCAGTCCGATGCCTTATCGACTACGCCATAGAGACGATCACTAATAGGATTAATTTTATTAGATATATAAACTTAATTTATACAATTGACACAAGAAGGAGAAAATAGACAAATATTTGAAAACAGTTATATTATTCTAAGGAACTTTAGATTAATGTGTACAACAAACTTTCAAACTAATTACATACAGATCGTTAGATGAACTGATTTTATAGGGTCATTAAAACGCTTTTTTATATGACGCTTGATTGAAGGATGTAAAAGAAAATTATCAATGAGAATCGACGTCTGCAAACAAATAAGGCTTATGAACAAAACAGAAAATAAAGATGTGTTGCTTTTGGACGGAAAATCCCGACTTATTTAGAGAAAATACTAGTAACCAAAATAACTAAGCATGCAAACAATTTTAGCATGAATATTTTGAATTAGTTCTTGCAGGTGCGCTGTTTAAGCACCGATATTTTCAGGAAAAAGTCAAATAGATTGCCGCATAAATAATTACAACAATCAGCATAATAATAACAATAGTGTTGCATTATGCATGTACTATGCCTAAATAGTAGGCAGGGTTTGACACATAGTGCACTCGCCTCCGGCTCGTGCACCATGTGTCAAACCCTGCCTACTATTTAGGCATAGTACATGCATAATGCAACACTATTATATAAATATAGAACTGACAACTATGTAAAAAAAATGAATTTTGTAATCCACGTGCCCATCTGTTGTCAGTAAAGCGATTAATCTTATTATATTTCAGACGTACTAATCCATTTTGAAAAAAAAAAATATCAAACACTGCACATGCAATCAGGTGATATGATTTGTAAATACGACCCCGCGGTTGGAGTGCGGGGTTATTTAATCGGATGTGCATGTTTATTGTTTGCCCTCCCGTTTTCTAAATTTGGACGTTTATTATTTCGACTTTTTCCAATTTTAAATAAACCTTGTACACACGATTTAAACATCCGATTCGTGTTAACAAACACGTACGATCTTGTGATATATTCCGAACATATCAATATACTTCAGGACACTTACTGTTATCTGCAACAATAACACGGATTAATATGTTTTAAACTGGATCTTTATCCAATGCGTATTTTTTTCTGTTATGCCTGCTTGAAATTATCGAAAAAACACGATCAAAACATTTATAGGACTTCATTTTAGAAACAAAAAGATATTTTGAAGGAAGAATAAAAATGCGCTAGTCAAATGAATTCTCTCTTTACCAGACACCACGCATAGCAGCTTTCTACGTTTGTTAAATATTCCATTCATTATGATTATGGTGAAGATTATATATCTTCTTAAATCTTCAGATATTAAATAAGTTTTGAATTATCATAATCCCGTCAATTTCTCTAATAACCTACTTGTGTGATTTCTACACTCAATTGAAAATTGATTTTTATTAAAATCAAAATGAGAAGATGTAGAAAATGGTGTCTCTTAGGTCAATGAACTGTCGACTTGTCCGAAAAGTAAACCCCGGAAAAGAAAAGAAATACTCATTTAATATTGACTGTGGAATTTTGCTTCCAATAAACTAAAAACACCTTTTTTTCTAAAAAAATGTAAAAAAAAAAAAAAAAAAAAAAGACAAATGGATTAATTGTTTTTGATGGTGTGCATATTTTACAGCTGAAGATTTTTAATTTTTTTTTCAAAAAGTTTTCCCTATTTCACCAAAGATGTTTTGATTGAAAACGTCTTTCAACCAATGTCTACGCAAACTTAAAATTTACTTTTCGGTCTAATATTTAGTTTGGCAAAAATTAGGAAAAATTAAAATACCTGACTCAAACTGGCACAAATTAAAGCCCCTTGTTTACAAGTTATAAGTTTAACATAATTGTTGTAAAAATTGTACTTACTATTAAATTTAAAATGAAAGCGCTTAAGCTATCTAAAGATTTTACGTGTTTCTTTTTAAAAAGTTTTACCTGTAAACTACTGGGCACTGTGGATTTTTTTCTGTTTCTATATATATGCTGCTTAAGACATTAGTCTGATAAACTTTTCATTAAAAATATATATAAGTTGACGTCCTTACTGAGTAGTTTTAGTCTAATTAGATTAGCTTTCGTACTAAAAATACAATTAAAAATTATCCTTAATATTTGAAAACAAGTCAGTGACAATAGTGGTGCATAGTAAGTGCATGATCTGTTTTTCACTTGAGACTGCTAGGTTTTCAGTTGACTTTTTGTTGTTACTCTTTTTCTTTGAAAAAAAAAATGTTCACTTGCTTTGCTATAGAAGCTGTCATGACTCAATAGACCGAACGAATATAGATCTATATGAAATAAGACTGTAAAAAGAACCATCCAGTATGCAAAGAAGAGCTCATATACAATGAAATACTTTTTTGCCAAGATAAATTAATTTCGTTAATGCACTATATGCGCAGAGAATTGTTTTGACTTCTAAATTCGACAAATAAACAAAAGTGAACTTATGCTGCCGGTATTTTATTTAATGAGTCATATTTAAATTGTGTACCTTATTTTTAGTGCTATTAATGGGGATTGTAATCCAGGAACAAATGGAATGACAGTTCAGGTAAGTTCAGGTTGTATGCATGCAACCCTTCAATACTACATTTTATCTTTTTCGACAACGTCTTATAAAGTTGATATTAGACAGTAAAAATTTGGGGGAAAAAAGAGAAAACAAAGATTACACAAACTCGAAAGTCAATAAAAAATAGAATTTACGTGAAGAGCAACTTGAACCTCCAAACATCAAAGGTGGGATCAGATTCCATGAAGGAATGGGCATCCCCTTCCGATCGGTCTCACCCACCGTGTACTAATTGTCATGATCGGAAAATCTCGGAACATCCGTCGTCAACTGAATGTGTAAAAAATGCTCTAACATTAAGAATGAAAAACGTCAATCAGAATTTGATTCAATGATAAATTGTGGGGAGAGGGATAAAATAGTCTTCGCTTGCAGACCAGTCCCATTTACTTTTTGTGAAAAAAAAGTTTGTATAAATTTAAATAATAAATAGTATTTGCTGACAAATCATTTTTCCGTCCAAAGAATTTACGAAATAATAATTTTAAACGAGACTGCTGATATTCTTGTTTCATCAACCTGTTTGACAAAAATGTACCATGTTTTAGAAAGTGTGCATACTTAGAGCATGTCCTTGCGTATCGAATCAGTTATAAGATATACATGTTTATGCAAGTGATTTTCGTATTTATTAAAATGTTTCATACATATATGTTTGCTAAATAGGACAATTCAAATCACTGATTTGTACTTTAAAAAAGTTTATAAAACATTGATATTCCATATGGCATCTTATTGTGATGGTTCTCGAATTCGAGTCAAGAGATGGAAAATATGGATACACAAAGAATATTCATGTCAAAAATAACATGAAAACCAAAGCACCAAAGCCATAGCAAAAATAGATATTTTCTCTTGTTTTTCGTCAACTCCAAGGTCAAATAGGTCAAAATAATTCAAACCCAAGGAATGTACTTGCAAATCGTAAAAGCGATATGCTAGTAACTACCGTTCAAAAGGTATGGACACTTTAGCCAGTACCAAAAATTGTACAAAATAGGAAAGTCTTCACATATGAAATACATTTGTCATGGAGGACTGAGCATCCCCCGCCGCCCGGTTACACCCGCCGTGCGTTCATTGTCAAGATGGGGTAAATAAATTTGAAATAAAAGAACTGTATTGTTCATTGGACTTTTGTGCTTGAATACTGTTCGGTATCTCCATATATTTCACTGCATAAAGAGAAAGTCCAAGCACCAGCCATTCAGAATTACATTATTAACATATGAACAATCACAAGTTCAATTACTTAAACTTAAATGCACTTGAATCTTTGATTGCGGTAGAATAAAACATTCGAATTCTTGTTCAAAGGAATTCCAAGAATATTTCATTAAAATTAATTTTATACACTAAAAGGGAAAAAATATATTTGTCCTTCTTTAAAGTGATATCCACAATGGATCAATATTACAATATAACATTATCTTTAACTATTAAAATGATGAGGATAACGAACAGTAATCGATCTTAAAAAGTATCAATAGTAGTAAAACTGTACGTGAAGAAAGAATACGTACTATACCGATTTTTTCCACATTATACGATCCTTTAAATAAATGTCTAAAGTAAATAAATGTTAACTTTCTACATTATTTCAGGGATTTTCCAACTGCATCATGGCAAAAGCCGGAATAGAAAAGCCAAAGATTGCTTTATTTAAGGTAAATTGCACCACATTTGGTATTGTATTCTTTTATTCCAATTTTTTTAAAAATAAGAAAAAAAATGAGAATTTCAATAACTATTCGAGGTCTATCCTGATGGTACTGGTTCAATTCTTTTGCCAGTCATCTTTCTTATTCTGATTTTGAATGAATTTAACATACGTAAATATTCTAGATGTTTTATCAGTGACATACATTCATCGTTTTTTAAGGAGAGCAAGATAATTTAAGCAATTTTAAACACAATTTTCAGAAAATTGTTTCGAAATATAACATAAATTATATGTTTCAAATATAGAAAAAAGGTTCTTATGTTGTTTAAAACGTATCTATAATTTGTGCAGCTTAAATTTAAAGAAAAGAACCATTATGGGTTCAACAAGAGTCTTCAATAAAATGGTTTTACGATCATTATAAAAGAAAAAATATATAATCTTGAAGATCTAATACATCGGGAAAGCTTTTTATTATTATTCTTTTTGATGTTCTGTCTTATGTTTTAAGAAACGTCTTCTTCGACATATAGAAGGCTTTCATACCAGATACATCATTTTTTTTAATAAAAGAAAAGAAAATTTACACTTTCCACAACAGCTTATGAAAAATCAATAAATTGTATCAATCGTAACAAAACGTCTTATCTTCAAAGGGACTTATCTAAACTTGCTTCTTCAAAATCATGCTTGTTTTCTTACGTATATAAATGATAATGATATTACCCTATACCCTTGCACAACCTATTTTATCGACTCAATCTAGGTAAAAGGTGTACGAGATTCTTGCTATGAAAGTATGGGAAAATAAAAACACAAAGCACAAATTATGTTCATTTAAAATTGAATCATTTGTTAGATTGTTTGCTGTTTGATATGCCTCTCGAGAATATTTCACTAATATGAACACATCTCAAATTGCCAGTTGAGGGCTGGAAATTTTTAATCAATATTCGGCATTCATGGCCATTGAGCAGGGAGGGTTCTTTTTCATGCCAGCGCCTACTGCGACACGGGACCTCGATTTATACAGTGTCATCGGAATGACTGGTCTCGAAGTGGATTCGAATCCCCGAATGTAAGAATGAGCTCTTTTCTCCGCGAATCTAGAACTGATAATACTACTGCGCTACGCGGGTGCCATTCAAATTATGAAAAATTAGGTAAAAAATATTACAACAAATTACAAATATTTAATACAAAGCAGAATCATGAACAATGCACCACTTCTTTAAAAATGTAAACAAAGATATTATATTCATTTCATCAATACAAAGAAGCAGTTATTTATACAATCAAAATCCGTTACACCAATTTCAATGGAGAATTAAATGCTAAATGTTAATGTCTAATGAAAAACTCTTTTCTTGCAAAAGATGATGTATCGAAAGTGTTTTTTTTCTTGAAATATTACTGTATTGCATTGTCTTTCTTTAGAATAGTTTAATAATGGGTAGTGAAGCTAACATGTTTTATGTATGGCAAACTTTATATTCCTGTCTAATTTTACATTAAACCAAGTTACTCATTAGATAAGTTGCTTCATAAAAATGGCTACTATTTTCAGTTTGTAAAAGGACTAAGATTATCAAGATTTCTTAACTGTTTTTCACAGCAAACTATATTTCAAAATGAACTTTTTTTTATTTTAGGAATTTTTATGGGAAATACGGATTTGTTTCAACGTAGACTTTCTTTCAATACCATGTCCAGGACAAAGCAACACACATGTCCTTTTGAAATTACCACCTGACGATCATATTCAAAAAAGATCAGCTGGAAATGATCCAACGCAATGGTCTAACCTATCTGTCGATAGCTTTGCTGTGTGTCCTTTAACAAAAATAACAAAAAATGGAGCAATCAGAATTTTCGCAAGAGAATTGATATTGCTTCTTCTGCTGCTTCTAACGCTTTAAAAGTAAATATCAGAATCTGGTCAACCATGAAAAACGTAACGATTTTTCAACGAATTATCTTTAACAAATGATATTAAGTTATTATGTTAAAATTACAATCACAAGAGTTAATAACATACATTTTAATGCAACATCTTTAACCTATACGATTTTTCTCATAGGATTACAATTTAGAACCAAAATTTAACTTTGAAATATGCTGCTATGTTTCAACAGCTGTATCTCAGATAAAGAAAAAGAAAATTAAAGTAACAGCGGGTAATGTCAGTCGTTGCGTAATACATGAAGAACAGATATAAAATTCTAGATTTATCGAGCCAATTTTGTTTACTTTAAAACGACCAGAGATTTCTCACAAACCCAAACATTTTACCAAATTAATGCAGATGGACATATGAATAAAGAGAAATTGTTTTGTGGGTGATAGACATACATGTGTATGCGCAAGTGAGTTAAGGCTACGTATGGAGGTTTCTATGCAAAATAATTAATTAAGACCTATAATTGCTCTACATACCGCAAAGAAAATGTTAAAACTTGTTTTCTAATACATTCTTAGTACCAACGATAAGCGATTACCAGTACACATTATGACGTCATATTATGACGTCATCGACCTTTACTATACAAGTTTATAAGAAACATCAACAAAATCGCTTCGGCGCAAGGGCATACCTTACTTTGTTTTACAGAAGCAAGGCATAAAGAAAAGCAGAATATACCAAAGATTTAAGATATTGCTGCACAAATGTCGACACCGCAGTTGTTTAGTTACTATTCGTACAGTTCTAAGTTAAAACAGGGTACAAAAGTACAGTCCACTGTAAGTTTAGTAAAATTTTTATCGATTGAAGAAGAGGATAGGATTTGTGCAGCAATTTTATTAATTTTAAGAATATTCTCTTTAATATTATACTTTATTTATTTTAAATTAAATAGGATATGCCCTTGCGCCGACGTTGTTTTATTGATGTGTTTTATTACCTTGAATGGGAGAGAACTATGACGTCATAATATGAAGTCATAATGTGCACTTGCAATGATATACTATGGGTACAAAGAATGTATAAGAAAATCAATTTGAACTTTCTCTGTATATAAAATATACAATTTATGCATTTTTATTAGCTCATTTGCATAGAAAAACCCATATTTAGCCTTAACTCACTTGCGTGTCCCTAATCGTCGATTTTTTTTAACCATAAACTTACTTAACATATTTAATAGGTAATCGATTTAAATATTGGATATAATTTTTAATTTTAAAATAAAAGAAGTAGAAGTAGACAGAAGTAGAGAATCTGCAGTCAAACTCACAAGAAGGATAAGGAATGGAAAATAACATTTTTTTGTAAACACTGCTTTTTAGAATAAATTCCTCATTTGATTGTAATTAATATTAAAAAAATGTATCAGAGGTTCTCTTTGATGTCTCATCAAGACTTTTAGAACACCCTCCCCCCTTTATATATAAATTTAGTAAGTAAGCGCATTATGCAAATTATATATAGTCAAATTGTACACAGAATCCTTTATTCTGTCTTTAATTCTTCTATGTTTTGCCTTATCTATAATTGTTGTTTGTATTTGCCGATACAGTTATGTAGCTTTTTTTGCATAAAACGTTTTGTAGGTATTTCGATTTGTGTACCTTTATTGCTAGTATCATTCTGGAATCATTTGCATTTTTTATAATAATGAAATCAACTCGTATGTTTATTTTTTTTTTATTTCAGACAAAGACATTGGAAATGTAAATATAACAAACTAAACACTTGCGGTTGATTTAACTTTCTTATATGAGAAAATAGTATGTTCTTTCAATTGGGATATTAATTAAAATTAGAAAATGAATAAAAAATATAACTTTTATGTATATGAACAATACGCTGACATTAAAGAATACGAAACAAGATGTGTTTGTGAAACACTGATGCTCCCGATGGTACATATGGCGAGGGTTGATATTTGCATGATTTTTAACTCCTGTACATTATTCTGTCACAGTGGGAGAGAATATCAGAAGTTGGGGCAAACTCTTGATTGTTCTTCCCTTCACATAGAGCATTGCAAAAATAAGATACTGAATTGTTATAGAAAATCATGTTAACGATGTTTTCAATCCTACAAATGCCACGCTTTGGTGTCTCAACTGCTCAACTATGACTGACTCTGCACTTGAACAGACAGACATTACGGGGAAAAAATAAAGAAAATGTAATGAATAGGATTTTAAAAAGTAATTTAATTTATGCTTTGCACTCGTAAAACATAAAAAAAATACCTTGTACCATTTGTGAAATCATTCGATCTCAAACCACAAAACATTCAATATTCTCTTATTAAGCTTTCTTAATGCTGAATAGCTTTTCAGACAAGTTATTTTTGCTTCGTCCTCATTATTGCGCCACAAATACAGGGAGCAGATGAAGTTCCTGTTTTAGAAACATCCAGTTTAAATTGACAACTGTGATTTCATAATGTTTGGTGTGTTTGTTCCCTATTCTTACCAATTCTTTAACAACACTTTAAACCGTAAATAAATTCGTTAAACATGGTAAATTGGTTAATTCCTAGCTATATTCATATATCATCATACTATTTCGTCACATTTGGAAAAGGAATATAACATAAAATGTATACGTTATTTTGGAGAAGTAATTTTTTAATTCTAATCTATAATTTATATTCAGCAGATGATATTTTGATTACAGATTGATAGGATAATTTCATATGAACAAGCTGTGCTTAATATTGTCGAAATTAATGGTATACTAAAAAAATTCGGTTGGGTGAGCAACCAAATTGAAATCAAATTATCATATCTGTATTTGGATTTAGAAACTTCAATAAAAAACCCAAACAAAGATTCATACTAGATTTCAGTAATTGTTCTAAAGAGGTTTTTTTTTACTGATCACCAATTTTTTTTACAAAAGTGAAGGAGAAACTGTGAGAAGTTAAAAGACAATATATTCAAGAAGTGGTGTAAATCCGATGTGGATACTAAAAAATTCAAAGAAACATTTGGAATAGTAGAAAGCATTAAACTTTATCTAAATCAACAACATAAAAAGTTACGACTTTTTTTCATGGGACTAATCCTCACAATAAGTTTATGTCCGAATTTTCTGTTATTGTTGGAAACTTCTTTTCAACACTTGGAAACTCGTGAATAGACTTAACTGGTAAATAAACAATCTGATTGTACACACAAGTATCATGAAGTTGACAATTAAAAGATCCTCGAGTTTTTGATCGACACTATCAAGTCTTCCAACAATCAATTGGCATTGCCTTGGGCAGCAATAGTTGCTCAAAGTCATATGCGCGAAGAGAAGAAAACAAGTGCAGTGGCCTTCGACTCGACAATAATATATATCGACCAGGTATTGACAATTAACAATGGTTATTTCCATTCATATGTCGACACCACAATCCCGAAGAGCTGAGATAATCCTAAGATAAAAGATACCACGGAGTCTGAAACGTCTGTTGCATATATGTAGGTGTTATATAAGAAAAAAGGCATTAATGGTAAACTAACAGCAAAGCTTTATGCGCAGGTATGTTAAGGTTACAACCAAATATTTTACTTGCCTATAGGATATGACGTCATAGTAAGCTATATGACTTGAAGTTTAGAGATAACAATTTCTTAAAATCGATATCTAAGATTGATTTGAAGTCGTAAAAATGAATCAAAATGTGCAGAGGCATAATATAAACGGAATTTTGTCGTTTCTGGGTCTCTGTAGTTATCACAGGGGTTAAATACCAAACCCGTGACGTCATAACTATTGATCATGTAGTAGCAGAGTGAAAGTTAAACATAACGAGAGATTCATGAAAACAAACACAAGAAATCGTAGTTTAAAAGCATTTAGAATGAATATCATGTGTGATTCATGTGGGAAAAAAGCTTATGAATTAGGTATGCTAAAATAATTTTACAATTCCTTCGTAAAATTAAAAGCAGGCAGGGTATTTGCCGATCAGCCTTTCCTCTGTCGTTCGTAACAAAAAAGTTCAACACTACGCCGCATACTTTGAAACATAATTTTTGTTTCTATCGAAAGTTCTTATTCTATAGTTTTTGGAAAGTGCTGCTAGAATCGTACGGTTTACGGAAATTGAAGCATTTTTTTAATGTAATGAACAAAATGTAAAAATTTTGGGAAGGTTTTGTCCGAAAGTGTTGAATAATTATTTATACAATAGGACAGTAGGATTCTAGCAGCACTTTTCATGGTAAAGAGATGTTTTTACATAACTATTATTACAAATTGAAATTAATTATTCCCAGGGTAGTATTGAACTTTTCACTTTTTCATTAAGGCATTCTTTCTATTTATAGACGTCACGTGGTGACGTCGTGGTGAAGTGCTTCCTGTAGTATAAGTCCCATTGAAGTCTATAGAATGCATAATGATAGCAAAAATTTTATCCATGACTTTTCCGATTTATTAGTGTTACATGATTATAAAAAAATGTGAATTCGCCGAATTCTGATCCATGTGCTGCCTTAACATACCCGCGTGATAATCGTGATGACTTTAAATTTTCAATCGTCCACTTTCCTTACCTATGCAGCAATATACCATTATAACCTTCATACGTGGTTTACATCTCTAGTTGATGCAGTACGAAAGCGTATGTTGTACCTATGAACACTTTCTGAAACAAGACAAGTTATTGAAAAACAAGTCAATGAAAAAAGATTATCAGCTGCCTCATTTTGTACAATGACTTATCAGCAAAAACAGTCTATTATTAAGTAAAATTCTGACTGACTTTCTCATATTTAGTGCATGGCCATTTTACAACTTGAATTGTCGACAGATTTTTTTCTGTTATACTCTGGTCATATATAAAAACAAAAAGAAATAAATCTTGAAATTTGTTTTTTGTTAGTACTTCGATCGAATATCACGTCAGAAATCTTAATACGTAAAAATATAGCAATATAAAGATATATACATTTGAGAAAATTTTCCAAAAATATCGCGAATTATAGAAAATTAATGAGTTACATTTTGAATTCAGCATGCTTTTGTTTATTTTTTTTGTCGTGCTCCGTACCTCTCCATCAGCCATATTAACACATAGTTAATTAAAGGAGAAATTTTTTTAAAATACAGAAACTTTGTCTTAAAAAATATTGGAATCTTTAAGATACATATTTCTGTGAAATTTCGTAACTACATAACGTCTGTAAGAGTAAATATTAGCAGAGTCCGCGTAAGTTTTGAACGACCCTCGTATGTTTGTATATTAACTCGTAATTTTTGAACGAACAACATATGTTTGTATAAGAAGGATTTGAATATTTAAGGATTAAAGGATAAAAATCGTATGTAGAAGTCATATCAAAATCAAGATAAATCCATAGATGGTGGAGTTTTAAATCTTATTTACTATTGAGTTCAAAATTTTAATAAAAGTATTTTGAATTTGGTTTAAACTTAGCACTTATGGTATAAGCAATAAGCAAAACAATTTTATGCACATTATTTATTAATTGTCTTTCTCTATTTTTTTAAATTGAAATTTACTGTTTCATATTCAGCATAATAATGAATGTTATACTAAAAGGATTAGCGGCTTCTTTTAGTTTAATACAGCTGTGCAAGCTATTTACCAATCAGAATTGTGCGTGTAATTATGAAAAATAAGCCATTAACACTATTCTTGAGCAACATACACTTCTAATAAGATGTTTCTGCGCCTATTTGTAGTAAGTTGTTTTTTCTCATTCATTTCGTTTTTAAATTTCTTATAATATATAGAATTAAAAAAGAAAACCAATGTTCTAAAATGTTTAATTTACATAAAGGTTTTAGAGAGATATTTTTAAAAAAATCTTATTGATAGAAATTTCTCAGTGTTTCAATCAATCAAGTTTCCTTCAGACATATTAGCTAAGTAATGAAAAAAACTTTTATTTTATTATTGAATATATGCGAAAACGTTACCTTAACTACGGTTTCAATTGAGAAGACTCACTGTTAATTCCTTTTCCAGGGATTTTTAGTGGTTTCTGCTATATCAGCAAAGAATCCATGGAGAGAGATGGGTAACGCTAAAGAAATCGAATACTCAAAAAATAAAACTCACTAAACGTCCCTTTTTACACCAAAGAAAAATTATTTCTTAGACATAAAAGAAT